GGTACTGAGACTGAAACATTGTACCATATATAACATGGTACTGAGACTGAAGCATTGTACAATATATATCACGGTAAGAAGACTGAAACATTGTACCATATATAACAAGGTACTGAGACTGAAGCATTGTACCATATATAACATGGTACTGAGACTGAAGCATTGTACAATATATATCACGGTAAGGAGACTAAAACATTGTACCATATATATACATGGTAAGAAGACTGAAACATTGTACCATATATAACACGGTACTGAGACTGAAGCATTGTACAATATATATCACGGTAAGGAGACTAAAACATTGTACCATATATAACACGGTACTGAGACTAAAACATTGTACCATATATAACATGGTAAGAAGACTGAAACATTGTACCATATATAACACGGTACTGAGACTGAAACATTGTACCATATATAACACAGATAGGAGACTAATATAATCTTTCACCCCCTTGGGAGTGAGGCAGGGGGATCTCAACCCGAAGGGTAAGATTCTTAAGTTGCCTAACACGAGGCTTGTCGAGTGTTTGACAGCTTAAGAATCTTACCCCGAGGGTTGAGATCCCCTGTCTCACTCCCAAGGGGGTGAATGATTATTTTTCTCTTACCCTGTTTACCCTCTTATCTATCTAATATTGCCATTACAACAATGCAAGACAATGCTGATATGATGCGATTGAATTGTCGACATGACGTCATTGTATTGTTGCCGTGACGTCATGGTATTGTTGCTATGACGTCATACATCATGCGTCATGTTGAGAACGTGCAAAGAGCATGTGTAGCTTGTCTCAACCCTAGGGTGAGATAAGAAAATCTCACACCGGTAAAATGGTGGATATCCCTGTCCAGGGTAAGAGAATAAAACATTGTACCATATATAACATGTTACTGAGACTGAAGCATTGTACCATATATAACACGGTACTGAGACTGAAGCATTGTACCATATATAACACAGTAAGGAGACTAAAACATTATACCATATATAACATGGTAAGGAGACTGAAACATTGTACCTTATATAACTATAATTGGCCATAGTTTTAATACTTAATTATGGCCAAAGTTTTAGTACTAGCCGATTGGCCATAGTTTTAGTATTTAATTGCGGCCTTAGTTTGAGTACTAGCTGAATGGCCAAAGTTTAAGTTATAGCTGATTTGCCATAGTTTTAGTACTAGCTGATTGGCCATAGTTTTAGTATTTAATCGTGGCCTTTGTTTGAGTACTAGCTGATTTGTCATAGTTTGAATACTAGCTTATTTGACATAGTTTGAGTAATAGCTTATTTGTCATAGTTTGAGTACTAACTGATTGGCCATAATTTTAGTACTTGGTGATTGGTCATATTTTTATTAGCTCACCTGGCCCGAAGGGCCAAGTGAGCTTATGGCACGGTGCGGCGTCCGTCCGGCGTCAACTTTTTACTTCAATAACTTCTACTCAATAACCAAGAGGCCCAGGCTGATGATATTTGGCCAGTAGCATGCTAGTTTAAAGGGCTACCAAGTTTGTTCAAATGAATGACCTTGACCCACTTTCAAGGTCACAGGGGTCAAATGTCTTAAAATCTTCAAACAACTTCTTCTCAATAACCGAAAGGCCCAGGATACTGATATTAGGTCTGTAGCATGCTGGGATGAAGGGCTACCACATTTGTTCAAATGAATGACCTTGATGAACTTTCAAGGTCACAGGGGTCAAATGTCTTAAAATCTTCAAACAACTTCTTCTCAATAACCAAAAGGACCAGGGTACTGACATTGGGCCTGTAGCAAGCTGGGATGAAGGGCTACCAAGTTTGTTCAAATGAATTACCTTGACCCACTTTCAAGGTCACAGGGGTCAAATGTTGGGAAATCTTTAAAACGTCTTTTTCTTAATAACCAAAAGACCCAGGGTACTGATATTGGGCTTGTAGCACATGCTGGGATGAAGGGCTACCAAGTTTGTTCAAATGAATGACCTTGACCAACTTTCAAGGTCACATGAGTCAAATGTCTTAAAATCTTCAAACAACTTCTTCTCAATAACCGAAAGGCCCAGGGTACTGAAATTGGGCCTGTAGCATGCTGGGATGAAGGGCTACCACGTTTGTTCAAATGAATGACCTTGATGAACTTTATAGGTCACAGGGGTCAAATGTCTTAAAATCTTCAAACAACTTCTCCTCAATAACCAAAAGGACTAGGGTACTGACATTGGGCCTGTAGCAAGCTGGGATGAAGGGCTACCAAGTTTGTTCAAATGAATGACCTTGACCAACTTTCAAGGTCACATGAGTCAAATGTCTTAAAATCTTCAAGCAACTTCTACTATATAACCAAAAAGCCCAGGGTACTGATATTGGGCCTGTAGCATGCTGGGATGAAGGGCTACCTAGTTTGTTCAATTGAATGACCTTGACCAACTTTCAAGGTCACATGAGTCAAATGTCTTAAAATCTTCAAACAACTTCTACTATATAACCAAAAAGCCCAGGGTACTGATATTGGGCCTGTAGCATGCTGGGATGAAGGGCTACCCAGTTTGTTCAAATGATTTACCTTGACCCACTTTCAAGGTCACATGGGTCAAATATGTTAAAATCTTCAAACAACTTCTATTCAATAACCAAAAAGCCCAGGGTACTGATATTGGGCCTGTAGCATGCTTTGCTGAAGGGCTACCAAGTTTGTTCAAACCAATGACCTTGACCAACTTTCAAGGTCACAGGGGTCAATTGTCGTAAAATCTTCAAACAACTTCTACTAAATAACCAAAAAGCCCAGGGTACTGATATTGGGCCTGTAGCAAGCTGGGATGAAGGGCTACCCAGTTTGTTCAAATGATTTACCTTGACCCACTTTCAAGGTCATAGGGGTCAAATATGTTAAAATCTTCAAACAACTTCTATTCAATAACCAAAAAGCCCAGGGCACTGATATTGGGCCTGTAGCATGCTTTGCTGAAGGGTTACCAAGTTTGTTCAAACCAATGACCTTGACCAACTTTCAAGGTCACAGGGGTCAATTGTCGTAAAATCTTCAAACAACTTCTACTAAATAACCAAAAAGCCCAGGGTACTGATATTGGGCCTGTAGCATGCTGGGATGAAGGGCTACCAAGTTTGTTCAAATGATTGACATTGAGCCACATTCAACCTAATGTCCTTGTTCCACATTCCAGGTCACAGGCAACGTGTTTAAATCTTTCAAAAGGTTCTTATGAATCAAACATTGATATTCTTCCTGTAGCTGTATTTTAGTCATAGTTTTAGTATTAGCTTATTTGCCATAATTTTAGTACTAGCCGATCGGCCATAGTTTTAGTACTAGCTGATTGGCCATAGTTTTAGTATTAGCTTATTTGCCATAGTTATAGTACTAGCTTATTTGCCATAGTTTAAGTACTAGCTGATAGGCCATAGTTTTAGTACTAGCTTATTTGCCATAGTTTTAGTACTAGCTTATTTGCCATAGTTTTAGTACTAGCCGATTGGCCATAGTTTTAGTACTAGCTGATTGGCCTTATTTTTAGTACTAGCTTATTTGCCATAGTTTTAGTACTAGCTTATTTGCCATAGTTTTAGTACTAGCTTATTTGCCATAGTTTTAGTACTAGCTGATTGGCCATAGGTTTTGTACTAGCTAATTGGCCATAGTTTTAGTACTAACTGATTGAAACTCCCTATAACTCCAGTGCTCATCCATGACTTCCTTCTTACATAGGGTGTTCGGTTCCCTAAAAAAGCATTCTGGTACCTGATGCACATCGTAGGGCTGAAATATGAAGATCCACAAGTGGAGACATACAGGAAGCGGTTCCCATACTACAACATCATTAAAGACGAAGACAGAGGCACCATGTTGTTTCAGCTGGAAGAGTAAGTGCAATCTGACAAACAGGAATTGGGGATTTTTAGCTCATTTTTACATCTTATATGATGTGGTTTGTCATTCTTCCATCAAGTACTAGCTTTCCACTTAAAACAAATTCTTTGAATAACAAAGAGGCATAAGGTGATAAAGTTTGGCCAGTATAAGATGTACCATATATAACATAGTAACCAGTATAAGAGGCATCAGGTGATAAAGTTTGGCCGGTATAAGATGTACCATATATAACACAGTAACCAGTATAAGATGCATCAGGTGATAAAGTTTGGCCAGTATAAGATGTCCCATATATAACACAGTAACCAGTATAAGATGCATCAGGTGATAAAGTTTGGCCAGTATAAGATGTCCCATATATAACACAGTAACCAGTATAAGATGCATCAGGTGATAAAGTTTGGCCAGTATAAGATGTCCCATATATAACACAGTAACCAGTATAAGAGGAATCAGGTGATAAAGTTTGGCCAGTATAAGATGTACCAGATATAACACAGTAACCAGTATAAGAGGCATCAGGTGATAAAGTTTGGCCAGTATAAGATGTCCCATATATAACACAGTAACCAGTATAAGATGCATCAGGTGATAAAGTTTGGCCAGTATAAGATGTCCCATATATAACACAGTAACCAGTATAAGAGGCATCAGGTGATAAAGTTTGGCCAGTATAAGATAGATGGAGGGCTATCAGTTTTGTTCAGGTAAATGACCTTGTCCCACTTTCATATTTAGAGAGGCCATTTTTAGCTCACCTGGCCGAAGATATATATCCCTGCTCCACAGGGAGTTGAGAAAGATATTGGCTGGTTGCAAAGGCCCTATAACAGGAGATATACTTTATATATATATATAGGAGATATACTTTATACATATATAGGAGATATACTTTATATATTTTTAGGGGATATACTTTATATATTTACAGGAGATATACTTTATATATATGTAGGATATATACTTTATATAGTTATAGGAGATATACTTTATGTATTTATATAGGAGATATACTTTATACATATATAGGATATATACTTTATATAGTTATAGGGGATATACTTTATATATATATATAGGAGATATACTTTATATATTTATAGGAGATATACTTTATATATTTATAGGAGATATACTTTATTTATTTATAGGAGATATACTTTATATATATATAGGAGATATACTTTATATATTTATAGGAGATATACTTTATATATTAATTGGAGATATACTTTATATATTTATAGGAGATATACTTCAGTTGTTTTCAGAAATCAGTGCTGATAAAACAGCTGTCAACTATTGAGATATTTTACTGATTACCTGGTACATATTTTAACCTCTCTCACTTTCTCTCGGAAAATGTAGTTTTGACAAACGGGGAGTGGTAAGATTCAGCCTTATTTTTTCTAAGATTTAATCTGCATAGAAAATAAAACTGTGACCATGAAGTATGTTTAAAACAATGATATTTTCTAGGATATTCTTTTTAGTTATGAAACATACATTTTCGTTCTTTAAAAATGTTTCTGAAATGATGTATTGTAAGCAAAACTAATAAACATACAGAAAAGGAACATATGTTGATTTAGATACTGTGTTAGAGATGGTTTCTCCTTTAAAGTGATGTAACATTTACTTCTCTTTATGATTTGTAGTGATTCTACCTACAGCCCAGAGGAACTGATAGCCATGCTACTAGAGAAAGCTAAAGCCAATGCGGAGCTATTCGCAGGTAAATTGATAGCAATACTTGTTGGCGACCCGTTATTGTGTAAATAATTGTGTATTTTTGTTAGGCTTTTTAGCTCATCTGGCCAAAACGGCCAAGTAATGTGGTGATGCAATGTCCATCGTCCGTCTATATGTTTTCTGTCACCTTTTTATTAGCTCACCTGGTACTAGGGACCTCGCCAGGTTTGTCATCTGGAATACTATGTCTGAAGTTTCTAAAGTGCAAGAGTGCCCTCCACTTGTATGCTGACTGTGACAGGGTGTTGATAACACAATCCCACCACTGAGCAGATAACCGCTCAAGGGGCCGTTCCCTTACAGTTTCCGGAGACGGTTGAGCAGAAAATCACTCTGTCTCTAGAGGCTCAGGGGCTGCCTGATAGGCAGATACCCTTCTCTTTCTGAACCTTTGTATTGTTGGCAGACTTAAATAGAGCTACTAACTAATAACTGTCTCCCAACTTTACAATGTGATTCCAGTTACCTAGGTCACAAAAATACAAAGGGATTTTTACTATCCTTGCTCCTTTTCCTAAACCGAAGATCACAGCAGTGCCGTGTAATTTATCTACTATGGAACTATTGCCTTGTTACACCCCGCACACCAGACTAGTCAAATGTCGGGGGGCTCTAGTCTACATAGCTATGCCGGTGAGTACTCCACCTGAGTGGGTAACGACGCTATCTGATTGCTCAAAGACAGTCAAACAGCTTCTGTGATGGCATTCCCCCGTCCTTGGCAGAATTTCCCGCCAAAGCCAGCGGGATCGTTTCAACCAAACAGTTTCCTGGCCCCTGTGAATGCGTTTTTTCGCATTTGATAGATTCAACTGCCAGCGACTCAGGAGACGAAATGATTTTGACATGCATTTTAAGTCCCTTTTTCCAGTTTGGTTCTGGTAGAAGTGATAAGGAAGGTCATAGTCACAGATTACACCATCATTGACGAAATAGATCTGAGGTATACCCACTGTGTTTCCATTCTTGTTCTGTGGTCCGTCCTGGGCTAACTCAAACACCGCATGTAACTCCTGGTCATCCATTTTGTCCTTGTTGTTTTCTGATGACGTCAAAATTGGTTTGAAACATTCGATGATTGAGTGAACACAAGTTTCCGGCTCCTCTTCCCTGTCAAATGGAAATGAGGCAGATTTTGGTTTTACCGCCTGTTCTCCTTCAATTTTTAGCCCCTCTGTTTGAGGTACATGTATGTGATTATTTTGCCAAGGACAAGGAGTATGGGCCTTGTATGTCTGTGGTATTATACTGTCCACATCCTCCTCAAACTGTCTACTTTCACAGTTAGCTTCTGCCGGGTCACTGTTTAAATAATCTAGTGAATCTTCTGAGACCCTCACTAGCCTCTGGCCCTCTCTGGTAACTTTATCGTTACAGATAGGGCATTCCCTCAAAGCTAAGGGATGTCCTCTATTGGCTCCGTAGCTCTGATGTTCCCGGAGATACTCTGGCCCTTCCCAGGAAACATGTCTGCTGTATTACAGCTCAAGGTTTCCCTATGAAGATGGGAGATCAATTCTACATGTTCTTTAACTCCAATATTGTGTCCTTCCTTCATTATGACGGACTTGGCAGTGTCATTCATCACTCTCACTATGGATTGTTTGCCAACAGGAGGCACCAGCCTTCCATTTAAGGTTAGGGGTATGGTAATGCTACTGCCAGTTTCACCTCCCTCAAAGATGGGACTTCTTTTCTAGGCTTAGGGGATAGAGATCTTGATCTCTCTGCGGAGCTTCTTTATGGTTCTGGGGAAGCATATCGAGACCTCTGATTGTACGCCTTGGTATTCCGTCCCTTGTCATTACCCCAACTGGCGGCACTGTTGTTGCCTCTCGCCAGTTCCCAGGAGCCCCAGCTAGGTTGACCTGGACCTGGTGATCCCATGCCTGGTGATTCCCCATGATATCTGGGTGGCCAGTTACGGTTTCGCGGGGGTCCTTATGTTCTGAGTATGGAGACCTATCTTGGCGCCAACAGTCATACCTGTTACGACCATTATCCTGGTGTGGACAAGGGTATTGAGCACTAGCACGATTATCTGGCAGTTGGTTCCCTTCAGAGTTCTGAGGGTAACCTCTGTCGCGTTATGGAGAGCAGACGTCACCACGAGGTGGAGGCGAGCTCTCATTCTCATCTTGTTTCGTGAAGTGCAGTTCCCTGCGGGCCTCAACAGGGACGTCTTTGTACAGTTCCTTCATCTTCTTCTTAATCTTAGTGAACCATAGAGTTTGCGGAAGTTTGTCGGCTCCAACACGTCACCGACCAGGCAATCAAAAAAACGCTGTATAGTCTTACGGTCTGACCATCTATTGTCTTTTATTATCCTCTCAAATTTTAGAGCGAAGGGCTCCCATTTCGCCTTACCGGAGTAAGTGGGCATCTTATTTCTCTAAGGACTTCTACTCTTCCGGCGATGCCTCTGCTCATCATCAGAGAAGTTCACAGAATACCTGTCGCTGTCCTCTTCTTCCTCACTGGAGAAGTCAGGCTTGGATCTGTTGCTCTCTGACAAATCCTTGCAGGGGTACAGTGTACCTTGTGATTGATGCGTATGTCGGTCAATGGGAGTATGTTGCACGCCCGTCTATTTCTTCCTTTATCATGGGTATCAGTGCTGTTGTAGTTACGCCTTGATTTTCCATGCTGGTTAAGGGCTCTTTTGTGTGAGCATTGGCAACGGCAGAAGGCAAAACATGAGCAGGGGTAATATGGTGTTCTAATTTAACCTGCTTTTGCCCTAACTGAGTATCTATGTACCCCAACAGGGGATAGTTATTCATCCTGCCATTGGCATATGGCAGCTTATGGCCTGGGGGTAAGTTACTCTTCCCATGTTGGAAAGGTAGTTGTGAAGGGTCATATCCCTGGGAATAATTCCCCCCCTCCCTGCTTGGGAATCGTCAAACTAGGCTTGACATCTTCCAACAAGAAGTCAACCTCCTTTTCATTGGGTGATGATCGGCATGACATGCTTTGACCTAAGCGCCGATTCATTTCATCCTCAACATGTGGGTCTGGTTCTAATTTAAACCCCCACTTAGAGGCAATGGGTGCATTGGTACCTTCAGTAGGCCATGTTGCCATGTGGGACCCCTGACCTTGACCCCTTACATACCTCCTATCTTTTGGGATAGCCTGTAGGATAGGGTCAAAACAGGACTCGTTCTGTTTAGGAACCAATGCCCGAGGGTCAGTAGATGGTTTATCCTCAGGTAGCATGGAGGTAGGTTGAGATATAGCTCTATCCCCCTAGAGTGACCAGCTACTTGTTTGATGCCCTTGGCTACTGACATACTGACCACCCTTAGGTGTAGTCAGTAGCACAGTGGCTGGATTAGAGGACTTTTTTTAATGGCCTCTGTCTCTAAGTTAGCCACTTAATCTCTAACTTATTTTGCATGTCCAATGCAGTGTCCTCCTGCCTATCAAGTCTATTAGACTGTGATGTGGTTGACTGTTCCTCTAATGCAACAGTGACCATTATGCCAGTAATCACCACCATCACACGGCCATCTCTGCCATTTTTCAAGGCCTATCCTTGAATTAGCCGCTTATTTTTGTAGGGTGACATCGCCATCAGCTCCAGGATTTTCTGTGCTGTCGCAGGGCCTAAACCCTCCAACAAGCACACATCTTCCTCTGTGGCAGAACATAAATTGATAACAGACATCCTCAATTATGAGACACTGTTGTCAGATTGTTCTATAAATTCAAATACACAGTGTGTTTTTATGTTGTAATCAAGAAACAAGTCAAAACATGTAAATAAACAATGATGAAATTATGCACACGAACAGTAGCGTTCCTATAAATAGACAACATATGTCTGTCCTGTACAGTATACAAATATTTAACAATTGGCAATTTACCAAAAATACCTCTGCAATAAACGGTATGTACTAGAGGTGTACTTGTGACAGTAACGGAAACTGACTGCCGGTTTCAGTCTGTCGTACGTTAGTATACGTGTTGTCATACGTATTACGCCAATATAGGCTGCCAACTATACAGTCGAACAAAGCTTCATAACAAAGTAACAAAACCTTTAAGCTCAATATAAATATCAGATGGCAGTGCAGAGATGTCACATTGATGTTGTTGGCGCGGTTAGAGGTCTAAGGGAGATAACTCTCCCCTAAATTCGCTACACTGTATTGGCAGAATTTTGATCATAATGTTTCTGAACAATAAAAAGAAAATGATAAAATACAATCATCCTAACAACAGCATTCTGCAACACATGTTTATCAAGATGTTAGATAAGAAATCTTTTATTCAATACATAATCTAAACTCAATCTTTATTTATCAATATTAAGATTAGGACATGAGAGGGACGTAAACAATTGCCCTTCACTTACTGTAAACAATGCAGAAACCATAATTGTTATTTCCCTTTGTCCACCATATTGTCTCATGAGTCATGGTGATGGATGAGAAAGCTGTGCATGATTTTCTTTGTGACAATTATAAATGAGCATTTTTGAAGGGCTGACAGGCCTAGCTATATTACCACTCATGTTTTGATTTCAGATCAGCCAATCAAAGACTGCGTTATAACAGTACCAGCCTATTTTAGCCAACCACAAAGGAAAGCTATGATCCAAGCCGCTTCAATGGTTGATCTCAACATTTTACAGATCATGAGTGATAATGCAGCAGGTATCTGGACAATTAACATCATTTAAATTCATTGTATTGAGAAGGCATCATTTTATCATTGTGATTATTGAGAAGGCATCATTTAATCATTGTGATTATTGAGAAGGCATCATTTGATCATTGTGATTATTGAGAAGGCATCATTTTGTCATTGTGATTATTGAGAAGGCATCATTTTATCATTGTGATTATTGAGAAAATATCATTTTATCATTGTGATTATTGAGAAGGCATCATTTTATCATTGTGATTTTTTTTAATCTATGATACTAAGAATTTTTGGTTTGAAAAGCAAATTCTCAAACACAATTATTTCATTTTGTGTCTAGTTGCCCTGAACTATGGTGTGTTCAGAAGGAAGATGTTTAACTCCACGATGCAGTACTATATGTTCTACGACATGGGAGCAACCAGCACTACTGCCACAGTTGTAGGTTAGTATTTAATATCTAGGACAGTGGGGTCAGTATAAAGACCATAAGTGTCCGTATCTAAGACCCTGGATGTCAGTGTTTGTGACACTGGTATCAATATCTAGGACAGTGGGGTAAGTATAAAGACAATAAGAGTCTGTATCTGAGACACTGAATGTCACTGTTTGGGACACTGATATCAATATTTAAGACAGTGGGGTCAGTATAAAGACCTAAGTGTCCATATCTAAGACACTGGATGTCAGTGTTTGGGACATTGATATCAATATTTAGGACAGTGGGGTCAGTATAAAGACAATAAGTGTCTGTATCTGAGACACTGAATGTCAGTGTTTGGGACACTGATATCAATATTTAGGACAGGGATGTCAGTATAAAGACCATAAGTGTCCGTATCTAAGGCACTGGATGTTAGTGTTTGAGACACTGGTATCAATATCTAGGACAGTGGAGTCAGTATAAAGACCATAAGTGTCTGTATCTAAGACACTGGATGTCAGTGTTTGTGAGACTGGTATCAATATTTAGGACAGTGGGGTCAGCATAAAGACCATAAGTTACCGTATCTAAGACACTGGATGTTAGTGTTTGAGACACTGGTATCAATATCTAGGACAGTGGAGTCAGTATAAAGACCATAAGTGTCTGTATCTAAGACACTGGATGTCAGTGTTTGTGACACTGGTATAAATATTTAGGACAGTGGGGTCAGTATAAAGACAATAAGTGTCCGTATCTAAGACACTGGATGTCAGTATTTGGGACACTGGTATCAATATTTAGGACAGTGGGATCAGTATAAAGACCATAAGTTACCGTATCTAAGACACTGGATGTTAGTGTTTGGGACACTGGTATCAATATTTAGGACAGTGGGGGCAGTATAAAGACCATAAGTTACCGTATCTAAGACACTGGATGTTAGTGTTTGAGACACTGGTATCAATATCTAGGACAGTGGGGTCAGTATAAAGACCATAACTTACCGTATCTAAGACACTGGATGTCAGTGTTTGTGACATTGGTATCAATATTTAGGACAGTGGGGTCAGTTTAAAGACCATAAGTTACCGTATCTAAGACACTGGATGTCAGTGTTTGGGACACTGATATCAATATTTAGGACAGGGATGTCAGTATAAAGACCATAAGTGTCCGTATCTAAGACACTGGATGTTAGTGTTTGAGACACTGGTATCAATATCTAGGACAGTGGGGTCAGTATAAAGACCTAAGGGTCCATATCTAAGACACTGGATGTCAGTGTTTGTGACATTGGTATCAATATTTAGGACAGTGGGGTCAGTTTAAAGACCATAAGTTACCGTATCTAAGACACTGGATGTCAGTGTTTGGGACACTGATATCAATATTTAGGCCAGGGATGTCAGTATAAAGACCATAAGTGTCCGTATCTAAGACACTGTGTCAGTGTTTGGGACACTGGTATCAATATTTAGGACAGTGGGATCAGTATAAAGACCATAAGTTACCGTATCTAAGCCACTGGATGTCAGTGTTTGGGACACTGGTATCAATATTTAGGACAGTGGGGTCAGTATAAAGACCATAAGTTACCGTATTTAAGACACTGGATGTCAGTGTTTCGGACACTGGTATCAATATTTAGGACAGTGGGGTCAGTATAAAGGCCATAAGTTACCGTACCTAAGACACTGGATGTCAGTGTTTGAGACACTGGTATAAATATCTAGGACAGTGGAGTCAGTATAAAGACCAGAAGTGTCTGTATCTAAGACACTGGATCTCAGTGTTTGTGACACTGGTATCAATATTAAGGACAGTGGGGTCAGTATAAAGACCATAAGTGTCCGTATCTAAGACACTGGATGTCAGTGTTTGAGACACTGGTATCAATATCTAGGACAGTGGAGTCAGTATAAAGACCATAAGTGTCTGTATCTAAGACACTGGATGTCAGTGTTTGTGACACTGGTATCTATAAAGACCATAAGTGTCTGTATTTAAGACACTGGATGTCAGTGTTTGGGACACTGATATCAATATTTAGGACAGTGGGGTCAGTATAGAGACCATAAGTTACCGTATCTAAGACACTGGATGTCAGTGTTTGGGACACTGGTATCAATATTTAGGCCAGTGGGGTCAGTATAAAGACCATAAGTGTCCGTATTTAAGACACTGGATGTCAGTGTTTGGAACACTGGTATCAATATTTAGGACCGTGGGGTCAGTATAAAGACCATAAGTGTCTGTATCTAAGACACTGGATGTCAGGGCTTGGGACACTGGTATTAATATCTAGGACAGTGGGGTCAGTATAAAGACCATAAGTTTCCGTATCTAAGACACTGGATGTCAGTGTTTGGGACACTGATATCAATATTTAGGACAGTGGGGTCAGTATAGAGACCATAAGTTACCGTATCTAAGACACTGGATGTCAGTGTTTGTGACAGTGGTATCAATATTTAGGACAGTGGGGTCAGTGTAAAGACCATAAGTTACCGTATCTAAGACACTGGATGTCAGTGTTTGTGACACTGGTATCAATATCTAGGACAGTGGGGTCAGTATAAAGACCTAAGTGTCCGTATCTAAGACACTGGATGTCAGTGTTTGAGACCCTGGTATCAATATTTAGGACAGTGGGGTCAGGATAAAGACCATAAGTGTTCGTATCTAAGACACTGGATGTCAGTGTTTGTGACACTGGTATCAATATTTAGGCCAGTGGGGTCAGTATAAAGACCATAAGTGTCTGTATCTAAGACACTGGATGTCAGGGCTTGGGACACTGGTATTAATATCTAGGACAGTGGGGTCAGTATAAAGACCTAAGTGTCCGTATCTAAGACACTGGATGTCAGTATTTGGGACACTGGTATCAATATTTAGGACAGTGGGGTCAGTAGGTATCAATATTTAGGACAGTGGGGTCAGTAGGTATCAATATTTAGGACAGTGGGGTCAGTAAAAAGACCATAAGTTACCGTATCTAAGACACTGGATGTCAGTGTTTGGAACACTGGTATCAATATTTAGGACCGTGGGGTCAGTATAAAGACCATAAGTGTCTGTATCTAAGACACTGGATGTCAGTGTTTGTGACACTGGTATCTATAAAGACCATAAGTGTCTGTATTTAAGACACTGGATGTCAGTGTTTGAGACACTGGTATCAATATCTAGGACAGTGGAGTCAGTATAAAGACCATAAGTGTCCGTATCTAAGACTGGTATCAATATTTAGGACAGTGGGGTCATAAAGACCATAAGTGTCCGTATCTAAGACACTGGATATCAGTGTTTGAGACACTGGTATCAATATCTAGGACAGTGGAGTCAGTATAAAGACCATAAGTGTCCGTATCTCAGACACTGGATGTCAGTGTTTGAGACACTGGTATAAATATCTAGGACAGTGGAGTCAGTATAAAGACCATAAGTGTGTGTATCTAAGACACTGGATGTCAGTGTTTGTGACAGTGGTATCAATATTTAGGACAGTGGGGTCAGTGTAAAGACCATAAGTTACCGTATCTAAGACACTGGATGTCAGTGTTTGTGACAGTGGTATCAATATTTAGGACAGTGGGGTCAGTAGGTATCAATATTTAGGACAGTGGGGTCAGTATAAAGACCATACGTGTCCGTATTTAAGACACTGGATGTCAGCTGATGTTTGGAACACTGGTATCAATATTTAGGACAGTGGGGTCAGTATAAAGACCATACGTGTCCGTATCTAAGACACTGAATGTCGGTGTTTTTGACACTGGTATCAATATTTAGGACAGTGGGGTCAGTATTTGGGACAATGATGTAAATAACTAGGACATGGATGATAATATTTAGGACACTGATGTTTACGTCTAGGACACAGATATCAGCTTTTATCAGATATCAGATATCAGTGTTTGGGACACTGGTGTCCTTATTTAGGACACATGTCAGTATTTGAGTCAGTAGTGTTAGTATCTAGAACACTTGGTTCAGTGTTCTGTTGTGTCTCAATTAAATCTTTATTTCTATCTTTATTTGTGTTTGTTTTCTTTGTTGCCTAGGTTACCAGTTGATGAAGATAAAGGAAGGTACTCGAGTAGAAACAAACCCCCAGCTGGTCATCAAGGGTGTAGGGTAGGTATTAATATTACCTGTCAAATCTCCTGATCATGGCTGGTCACTCCTGAGAACCTAGCCTGAAGGATGTGAAATAAAGGTTAATCCTTAAAATCCTACTTTTTCAATACATATAAGTGGATTGCATACAAAGAAAGGGACCAATATTGTACAGACTAGCAAAGGAAACTATACATTGCTCTTCTTGGGGAAGAAGATCAAGACCCAATAGGGGAAATGAATGCAAATGAGTGTCGCCCCTTCTTGTTTTTCAAAACATTTTATTTTAGCCACTTATGCATGCCGGAAATTTAATTTGCAGCTTTCCTACAGCTAACTGTTGCGGTTCAGAGAAAAGCAATATTTTAGATGCCCATTTTTTGATACAGTAGATCCCCACCCATAACCAATTGGTGGCCTTGAAAGACAAACACAATCAACAAAATTAACTCAAAGCTGCAGCCTTGGGAAGTACTATGGACCAATACACTTTTTGTTGAAGAGATGGATGGTCCCATGCTACTTGGATTGGCTCTTGGGTCTCCTCTTACCCCTCTTATACTTACTCACTGAGTCATAACATGGAAACAGCTCTGATTCCCACCCTATAAATTTAGCCTTCTGTCTTGGGATGATCAAATACACAAACTCCGTAAGGATTTGGTTATTTTTCTTTACTTTGATGAGACATGAAGAAAACAATTCATCAAATGAAAACCTACAAGACAATACATGTAAAATTACGTTTCAGACAACTCGCATACAGTCCATGCGAAATATGCCTGTCTGACAGACAGGTGGTAAAATTTACTTTCTGGCAATCACTATTGTAATTACGGACCAAATGTCCTGCGTACGTTTTCTACCTTAGAGTCGTCTTGAGTCATGTCACTTAAGCGTTTTAAACGCCCCTGTACTATTAGGTGCAGTCAAGCGCTGCGGTAACCTGTAATGATGTTGACTGAGTGAAAATAATGCTTTGTTACGTGACTTAGGCAAAACCTGGCAAACCACATGAACAGCCAAAACAAAATCCAGTTAATGTTTTCATTTAATTATTGTACACATCAAACAATATTTGTAAGTGTATTATTCATTTTCTTCGGATTGGTAAGTATTTCAAGCTAACCTGACCGAGATGTCCTGTAAGAGTTATTCTGGTCAGACAAGCTTGGGATAGTTATCTGATCGAATGTCCTGTAAGAGTTGTTCTGGTCCGGCAAGCTTGGGATAGTTTACTGATTGAATGTCCTGTAAAAGTTGTTCTGGTCAGGCAAGCTTGGGATAGTTATCTGATCGAATGTCCTGTAAGAGTTGTTCTGGTCAGGCAAGCTTGTGGTAGTTATCTGATCGAATGTCCTGTAAAAGTTGTTCTGGCTAGGAAAGCTTGTGGTAGTTATCTGATCGAATGTCCTGTAAAAGCTGTTCTGGCCAGGAAAGCTTGGGATATATTTCTGATCAAATGTCCTGTAAAAGTTTTTCTGGGCAGGGGCAAGCTTGGGATAGTTATCTGATTGAATGTCATGTAAAAGTTGTTCAGGCCAGGAAAGCTTGGGATAGATTTCTAATCAAATGTCCTGTAAAAGTTGTTCTGGTCAGGCAAGCCTGTGATAGTTATCTGATCGAATGTCCTGTAAAAGTTGTTCTGGCCAGGAAAGCTTGGGATAGATTTCTGATCAAATGTCCTGTAAAAGTTGTTCTGGTCAGGAAAGCTTGGAATCGTTATCTGATCAAATGTCCTGTAATAGTTGTTCTGGTCAGGCAAGCTTGGGATAGTTATCTGATTGAATGTCCTGTAAAAGTTGTTCAGGCCAGGAAAGCTTGGAATCGTTATCTGATCAAATGTCCTGTAATAGTTGTTCTGGTCAGGCAAGCTTGGGATAGTTATCTGATTGAATGTCATGTAAAAGTTGTTCAGGCCAGGAAAGCTTGGGATAGATTTCTGATCAAATGTCCTGTAAAAGTTGTTCTGGTCAGGCAAGCTTGTGATAGTTATCTGATCGAATGTCCTGTAAGAGTTGTTCTGGTCAGGAAGCTTGGGATAGTTATCTGATGGAATGTCCTGTAAAAGTTGTTCTGGTCAGGGGCAAGCTTGGGATAGTTATCTGATCGAATGTCCTGTAAGAATTGTTCTGGCCAGGCATGCTTGGGATTGTTATCTGATCGAATGTCCTGTAAGAATTGTTCTGGCCAGGCAAGCTTGGGATAGTTATCTGATCGGATGTCCTGTAAAAGTTGTTCTGGCTAGGCATGCTTGGGATAGTTATCTGATCGAATGTCCTGTATGTTGTTCTGGTCAGGCAAGCTTGGGATAGTTATCTGATCGAATGTCCTGTAATAGTTGTTCTGGTCAGGCAATCTTGGGATAGTTATCTGATCGAATGTCCTGTAAAAGTTGTTCTGGCCAGGCAAGCTTGGGATAGTTATCTGATTGAATGTCCTGTAAAAGTTGTTCTTGTCAGGCAAGCTTGGGATAGTTATCTGATCGAATGTCCTGTAAAAGTTGTTCTGGTCAGGGGCAAGCTTGTGATAGTTATCTGATCGAATGTCCTGTAAAAGTTGTTCTGGCCAGGCAAGCTTGGGATAGTTATCTGATTGAATGACCTGTAAAAGCTGTTCTGGCCAGGCAAGCTTGGGATAGTTGTCTGATTGAATGTCCTGTAAGAGTTGTTCTGGTCAGGCAAGCTTGGAATAGTTGTCTGATTGAATGTCCTGTAAGAATTGTTCTTTCTGTTCAGGCAAGCTTGGGATAGTTGTCTGATTGAATGTCCTGTAAAAGTTGTTCTGGCCAGGCAAGCTTGGGATAGTGTTCTTCTTTTCAAAAATGTTTTGACAATTTCTGACAAATTTTAGTCTTTTATTTAGTTTTCCTTATTTAGAAATATGATAGGATATTTATGTTGTCGCACAGTTTGCTGGGATTTTTCCCCCCATTTTTTGAATATTTCAATTGAGTTCATGAGCAATGTTTAAAAGGTAGGCAGATGAAACTTGCTCAAATTGCATAAAACTATATAAATCTTGATTCAGAATACATAAAATTCACTTTTATTCCAAAATAAAAAATACTGCATGATAAATATATCAAAAGTGTTCCATTTTGGGTACCCTCACCCTAGATTTGGTCTGAACCATTTCATTTTTCACAAAATTAATTAGATACCAGTCTTGGCCTTATACTTTTTCAAGGGTCTCTATATATATCTGAATCCTAACTAAATTCCTTTTTTTTTTCCTTTTTTTTTTTTAGTTAAATGCTTAAATATTTATGTGAGTAATAGTGGCCCTCTGGGCCTCCTGTTTAAAATTCTTATGAGCTATACAGACCACTTGAATTCTTGCCTTATGACCCTGCCTCCTTTTCTTGATAAATAGCTATGACAGGAACCTTGGTGGTCTTGAAATTACGCTCAGGATGCAAGATCATTTGGCAAAGGCCTTCACAAAAACGAAGAAGACCAAGAGTGATGTGTACCAGAATGCTCGTGCCATGGCCAAACTGTTCAAGGAGGCAGAGCGAGTCAAAAAAGTCCTCAGCGCCAATAATGACCATTTTGCACAGGTAGACATTGTAGTTCAAGTGAAGAAAAATATAAATATTGAAATTTTTAATGCAAAGTAAAAGTGTAGTTACCAAAATGTAGTGTCAGCGATAAGTTTTGGAACATTTGATGCATTTATCTAAAGAAAGTAACAATGACTTTTTTGTCAAACTGGTTTTATTTTAGGAAATATAAGATATTAAAAGAGAATTTTTCAATATACCTCATGGGTTAAAATTTGTTTTTAACTTTTCTGCTTAAGCGTCCTCTAATTCGTCCCTTACTCTTGTGTTTTGCAGGTTGAGGGACTTCTAGATGAGGAAGATTTCAGGGTCAAGGTCTCACGGGACGAGCTGGAGGGAATGACATTGGATCTGATGGAAAGAGTCACAAAACCCATCGAAGACGCCCTTAAAGCATCCCAGGTCACACTGGTAAGTATCAGGCATCAGATACAGCACACTTAGTTGCAGGTGATTTTCTGTCCCAGGTCACACTAGTAAGAATCAGGCATCAGACACAGCACACTTAGTTGAAGTTGACTTTCAGCTAATTTTTGGTATACTACACTATTTTTTTTTTTTAGAAAGTGTTGTATGGTTATTTGTCTAGTAGCTTTCAGAAAATATTACTAGTTGAAGAATTTTCTGAAAGTAAATACATATACTAGAATACTATAAAAACAGAAATTGTCAGTAAGACATGAATGCTTCCACTTGCATTCAAATTAGTGTCATTGTTTCACAGATTTTTAGAAATACTGAGGTAGTAAAAATTACCTTGGCATTGACCTTGAAACCTTGAACTGTTGAAGACCTTCAAATGCATGTCACTAATACTTACGTACAGAAAATTAGGGAGAACCATTGTTTAAATGATAATATGTTTTACACTAAATGAGAGTCTGCAATTCTAAGCCTTAAATTTTACCCAACCACAGGAACAAAAAGAAAGAAACAAATTATAGTCAAAAATGTATATCAAAATTTCTGTGTCTTCCACAGCCAGAACTCACAGAAATTATCCTGTTTGGAGGTGGGACCAGGACACCCAAAGTACAGACAATACTCAGCAAGTTCCTGGGAGGGTAAGTATACAGGGAAACCTCATTGATATATTCTTTACCAGATCTAGTCTTGTGTCTAGGACTTACAATATGTATATTTTTGCTGTATTGATTTAAGGAAGAGACGGACAGGTATCACATGACCAAACACTCAATACACTGTAATGATATATAAATTGGTTGGACAATCCTTTTAACATGAGGTCAAAAACCAAGGTCAAATAAATATTGTTTTTAATAATTATTGACTTCAAAGGGGGGTAACTCTTTCATCAAAGAGTATTTTTGAAAATAGCCTGGAAACTATTCTCAAATTTTGATATTTTGTTAGGTACACCTCAAAGAACAATATATGCGAAATTGCTGAATTATAGAGGGATGAATACACATATGCTACCAGGATGGTTAGACTTTACCCTGTGGTTTGGCCCCACCCAAACACACTTAGTCATAACATGGCAACCTTTGAGATCCCTACCCAATATAACCACGTAAAAACAGGTATCAGTGTTCTCCCCAGGAATTTTTTGATGCACTATGGTATTTATTTTTTAACTATTTTTTAATAACTACAAATAAAATAGTCTGACTAAAGAAAATGGATCATTTTAGCATATACTTTAGCATTGTTTTTTAATCAGAACAATGATGTTCTCAATATTAACTTAAATAGTGCTACAGTTATCAAATTGAATTATTGAAATTATCCAGTAAAAGTAGAATATTTCATTGTTACTGTCAAACTGGGAAAACCATGTGCTATTTATAATTTTGGCTCCAAAATGATTAACGCTCCTCATCCATGTTTAAAAAGCCATTGCATCACGGATTACGTAAGATTATTCAGGTTATCAAAACAACATGGCTGCAACGTGCAGTCTGCTCACTTACGATCGATCTTACTGTTGCAAAAATATTTCTCTAAAAGTTGTTTATTGATAAAAGCTTCTCACATAGCTTACTTATTCAAGCATTAAAATTTGATGGCCAAAAACAATGCAGCAAAGGTAGGTATTACAAAGCTACTGTCTGAACTTCTGTGTTTTCTTATTTTGGTGTAATAGTCAGTCACCCCTGAAAATCAATACATAGATTGAAGCCTTGATAATAAATAGACATCATTAGTTATGATTAGACACTGGTAATTGTGGTCTAATGTTCACATCTATAGGTAGTACACATCCCCACAGGTAAATCCTGTCAATCCTAGGAAACAATAAAAACCTAGTCTATTTGGAAAGGGGAGAAGAGGTTATCAGTTTGTGAGAACTTGATATTGATATTCCAGTCGTATATTGTGTTGTTATATACCTCTCAATGAGTAACGGTCCAATGGTGATGTTATATACCTCTCAATCAGTAACGGTCCAATGGTGATGTTATATACCTCTCAATGACTAACGGTCCAATGGTGATGTTATATACCTCTCAATGAGGAACGGTCAAATGGTGATGTTATACCTCTCAATGAGTAACGGTCAAATGGTGATGTTATACCTCTCAATGAGTAACGGTCAAATGGCGATGTTATACCTCTCAATGAGTAACGGTCAAATGGCGATGTTATACCTCTCAATGAGTAACGGTCAAATGGCGATGTTATACCTCTCAATGAGTAACGGTCAAATGGTGATGTTATATTCCTCTCAATGAGTAACGGTCAAATGGTGATGTTATATACATCTCAATGAGTAACGGTCAAATGGTGATGTTATACCTCTCAATGAGTAACGGTCAAATGGTGAGGTTATATACCTCTCAATGAGTAACGGTCAAATGGCGATGTTATACCTCTCAATGAGTAACGGTCAAATGGCGATGTTATACCTCTCAATGAGTAACGGTCAAATGGCGATGTTATACCTCTCAATGAGTAACGGTCAAATGGTGATGTTATACCTCTCAATGAGTAACGGTCAAATGGCGATGTTATACCTCTCAATGAGTAACGGTCAAATGGCGATGTTATACCTCTCAATGAGTAACGGTCAAATGGTGATGTTATATACCTCTCAATGCGTAACGGTCCAATGGTGATGCGTAGCGGCTCAGTACTCATGCTTTATGGTACTATCACCGGTAGATTGTTATCACTAGGGTCTGATTTGTTATCACTAGGGTCTGATTTGTTATCAGTCGTATATTGTGTTGTTATATACCTCTCAATGGGTAACGGTCCAATGGTGATGTTATATACCTCTCAATCAGTAACGGTCCAATGGTGATGTTATATACCTCTCAATGAGTAATGGTCAAATGGTGATGTTATATACCTCTCAATGCGTAACGGTCCAATGGTGATGCGTAGCGGCTCAGTACTCATGCTTTATGGTACTATCACCGGTCGATTGTTATCACTAGGGTCTGATTTGTTATCACTAGGGTCTGATTTGTTATCAGTCGTATATTGTGTTGTTATATACCTCTCAATGGGTAACGGTCCAATGGTGATGTTATATACCTCTCAATGAGGAACGGTCAAATGGTGATGTTATACCTCTCAATGAGTAACGGTCAAATGGTGATGTTATATACCTCTCAATGAGTAACGGTCCAATGGTGATGCGTAGCGGCTCAATACTCATGCTTTATGGTACTATCACCGGTCGATTGTTATCACTAGGGTCTGATTTGTTATCACTAGGGTCTGATTTGTTATTACTTGGGACCCTAGGTAACTTGGGAATTTTAGGTTACTAATGATGACACATTATGTCAGTTCCACTTCCTTTATTTAAGTCCAACTTAAGCTTCATATCTTATACATGGAAACTTAATTGTTCAATCCATTCCCTTCGGTTTCCATCTCCATTCTTTCTCCTTTAGTTCTCTTCATCTCACTTCCCAAGATCTCTCTGTAATTCTATCTCTGTCTATACCTGACTCTGTCCTTGGACTCCCTCCTTCAGCTCTCCCCTTCTACTTTGTCAACCTTAGATCTCTCCCTATTATAAAGACAATCTAACACTACTTCTACTTATCTAGATCTTCTAATTCTATTGGCTAATTCCATCCCTAGGAGGCGGGGCTACATTTCTCTTTTAGAAGTCTTTTGATGACCATATCCCTGTCTATGGACCACGATTAACTTATCAATGCATTATACTAAAAGGACCTTACATCCACCACACACCATTGTCCTCCAACCCTTCACACAGACATTCCCACACACTCCATTCCCTTTGAGTTCCTACCACCATGTGTGTCCAGGTCATCTCCTTTGTTATCAATTACAATCTCTTTTTAATTACCTTCTTCTTACTCTTCTGATCTTGCTCGCCACAATTTTTCATCTGTCATAGTACCGTTACATTTATGCTATAAGGTTGACCTTTGGGTCTGGGCCCAACCTCAAATATGTAGTCCCTGGGTCATAACTTTGAAACAGTTAATATTCCAACTGTATAACCATATATTCCAACTGAATAACCATATATATATGTTGCTGGGCATAAAGAGACGAACACAATCATGCCATTAGAATTAACCTTGAGGTCTGGCCATAGTCCTAGGAAGTTGGTTTCTTGTTCACAAGTTAAAACAGTTGAGATCCCCACCCTATGGCAATATATACTTTTGCTGAATATAATGAGGGAAATACACCTATCTACTACGTACCAGGATAAGCCTAGGGACTGGCCCTATCAATGGAAACTTATTTGCAATACAACCTTTAAAATAAAGATTTGGCATAAATACATCCAGGTGAGTAATACAGGGCCCCAGAGCCTGTTGTTCTGTTATTCTTGTGTACTATTTTCCAGAGTACTACTTACCTAAACAAATATATACAACATTTTATACATAATCGGTACCAAAGGTTGTTGTGTACAACACGGCTTCAGTCATCCTTTTGGTGTCAACTTTGCTCTTTCATTGACCTCTTCTAAATTATCATGATGAAGGTTAATCCATCTTCATTCACTTTCAAAGATATTTCTATCACAACAAAGTTGTTTTGAGACATTGGTAAGTATTTATCAGACTAAGATTTGAGTAGATGTGTGGACGGTTACCTGTTTATGTTTGTAGGCAGGAGCTGGGTAAAAGCATCAATAGTGATGAGGCTGTGTTTATGTTTGTAGGAGGGAGGTGGGTAAAAACATCAATAGTGATGAGGCTGTGTTTATGTTTGTAGGAGGGAGCTGGGTAAAAGCATCAACAGTGATGAGGCTGTGTTAATGTTTGTAGGAGGGAGCTGGGTAAAAGCATCAATAGTGATGAGGCTGTGTTTATGTTTGTAGGAGGGAGCTGGGTAAAAACATCAATAGTGATGAGGCTGTGTTTATGTTTGTAGGAGGGAGCTGGGTAAAAGCATCAACAGTGATGAGGCTGTGTTAATGTTTGTATGCAGGAGCTGGGTAAAAGCATCAACAGTGATGAGCCTGTGTTTATGTTTGTATGCAGGAGCTGGGTAAAAGCATCAATAGTGATGAGGCTGTGTTTATGTTTGTAGGAGGGAGCTGGGTAAAAACATCAATAGTGATGAGGCTGTGTTTATGTTTGTAGGAGGGAGCTGGGTAAAAGCATCAACAGTGATGAGGCTGTGTTAATGTTTGTATGCAGGAGCTGGGTAAAAGCATCAACAGTGATGAGCCTGTGTTTATGTTTGTAGGCAGGAGCTGGGTAAAAGCATCAATAGTGATGAGGCTGTGTTTATGTTTGTAGGAGGGAGCTGGGTAAAAACATCAATAGTGATGAGGCTGTGTTTATGTTTGTAGGAGGGAGCTGGGTAAAAGCATCAACAGTGATGAGGCTGTGTTAATGTTTGTATGCAGGAGCTGGGTAAAAGCATCAACAGTGATGAGCCTGTGTTTATGTTTGTAGGCAGGAGGTGGGTAAAAGCATCAATAGTGATGAGGCTGTGTTTATGTTTGTAGGAGGGAGCTGGGTAAAAACATCAATAGTGATGAGGCTGTGTTTATGTTTGTAGGAGGGAGCTGGGTAAAAGCATCAACAGTGATGAGGCTGTGTTAATGTTTGTATGCAGGAGCTGGGTAAAAGCATCAACAGTGATGAGCCTGTGTTTATGTTTGTAGGCAGGAGTTGGGTAAAAGCATCAACAGTGATGAGGCTGTGTTTATGTTTGTATGCAGGAGCTGGGTAAAAGCATCAACGTTGATGAGGCTGTGTTTATGTTTGTAGGAGGGAGCTGGGTAAAAGCATGAACAGTGATGAGGCTGCCGCCTTGGGTGCCGTGTATCAAGCTGCTCACCTTGGCAAAGGCTTCAAAGTCAAGACATTTTTTATGTTTGTATGCAGGAGCTGGGTAAAAGCATCAACAGTGATGAGGCTGTGTTTATGTTTGTAGGCAGGAGCTGGGTAAAAGCATCAACAGTGATGAGGCTGCCGCCTTGGGTGCCGTGTATCAAGCTGCTCACCTTGGCAAAGGCTTCAAAGTCAAGACATTTGGAATCAAGGAAGGCACAATTTTTCCTATATCTGTAAGTACTATGGATGGCAGATAAAAGAGTGAGGTATACTGAAAGCAGCTGTCTGCTATCGGATAAAAGAGTGAGGTATACTGAAAGGAGCGTATCTGATATCGGATAAAAGAGTGAGGTATACTGAAAGTAGCGTATCTGATATCGGATAAAAGAGTGAGGTATACTGAAAGTAGCGTATCTGATATCGGATTAAAGAGTGACGTTTACTGAAAGTAGCGTATCTGATATCGGATAAAAGAGTGAGATATACTGAAAGGAGCGTATCGGATATCGGATAAAAGAGTGAGGTATACTGAAAGTAGCGTATCTGATATCGGATAAAAGAGTGAGGTATACTGAAAACAGCGTATCTGATATCAGATAAAAGAGTGAGGAATACTGAAAGTAGCGTATCTGATATCAGATTAAAGAGTGACGTTTACTGAAGCAGCGTATCTGATATCAGATAAAAGAGTGAGGTATACCGAAAGCAGCGTATCTGATATCAGATAAAAGAGTGAGGTATACTGAAAGCAGCGTATCTGATATCGGATAAAAGAGTGAGGTATACTGAAAACAGCGTATCTGATATCAGATAAAAGAGTGAGGTATACTGAAAGTAGCGTATCTGATAGTTTGCTCACCTGATTATTCTTTTGAGCTGTCTTCATATGTTGTGGTCCAATTTCTGTTTGTAGAACATTTTCATTTTCTCTGTAAAAATACTTACAGATTATAGTTGATTCCAAAGCTGGTACAAATGTTCCTTATGACTTACTTTTTGTGCCATTCCTTGCCTTTGATTAGCTGAGCTATTTTCACCTTTTCTTCAAGATTCACAGAAGAGACCTACTCCAAACTATAAAACTGACAAAAATCCAAGATGGCTACCCTGGCATTTGATTAACTAAGACACATTAGTGTGGAGGCACAGAAGTTAAGTGGTAGGACACTGGGCTCATGACCGAAGGGTTGCGGGTTCAAGTCACGTCGTGGCGCTAGGTTGTATGTTTGAACAAGATACTTTGCTCGCTTGTTCCAGTCTACTAAGCTGTAAATGAGTTCCTGGTCAGAGAGTGCTGGAATTGTTGAATGCTAACTTGGAGCGCCGAAATGGCAGAACCAGCTGTATACTTCCCAGGGAGTTGAGAAAGATATTGGCTGGTTGCAAAGGCTCAATAACTAAGGATGATTATCTATGAACCGCTTTGAAACGGCCTACAAGCTGGTCTGTGGTAGAGCAGTATATAAGAATCTCGAATTATAATCATTATTATTTAGTTTTTAGCTTATGTCATGGTTCGGCGTCCTTTGCCATCAGTCGTCGGCAGTGTCGTCCTGTCAACTTTTCCTTTAAACAACTTCTTATGAAGAACAAACAGGCATAGAACCATGATATTTGACTGAAAGCTTCGTTAGTAGGAGCCTGATGAAAATGACCTTGACCTACTTTCAAGGTCACAGGATCAAATGTGTCGACTTCTGCTGAAGAACTAAAAGGTATAGAATCTTCAAATTTAGCTGGTGGCTTCCTGGGATAGAGTCCAACAAAGTTTGAGAATGAAAATGACCTTGACCTACTTTCAATGTCACAACGGTCAAATGTGTCAAACAATTTAAACGACTTCTTCGAAGAACCAAAAGGTATAGAATCTTCATATTTGGCTAGTGGATTCCTGGGGTAGAGCCCAAAAAGTTTGCGAATGAAAATGACCTTGACCTACTTTCAAGGTCACAGCAGTCAAATATGTCCATTGTTTCAAACGACTTTTTCTGAAGAACTGAAAGGTATAGAAACTTCATATTTGGCGGGTTGCTTCCTTCAAATCTTTTTTTAGCTCACCTGGCCCGAAGGACCATGGTGAGCTTATGCCATACCGCAGCGTCCGTCCTTCAACTTTTCCTTTAAAACGCTACTTGTCCTGACCGGCCAAGTAGATTTTGACTAAATTTGGTCTGGAGTATCCTTGGGCCAGGGGGACTCAATTTTGTATAAACGGTGGGTGTGGCCCCCCTGGGGGAAGAGGGGCAGAGCCAAATAGAGAAAATAAAGGTAAAACCATTAAAACTCTTCTTCTACCATAGGAATTAAGGGATTTTATCCTGATTTTGTCTGGAGCATCCTTTGGCCAAGGGGACTCAATTTTGTATGAAAGGTGGGTGTGCCCCTGGGGCAGAGGAGCGGGGCCCAATAGGGGGAAATAGAGGTAAAACCTTTAAAATCCTTCTACTACCATAGGCATTAAGGGATTTTATCCTTATTTAGACTGGAACATCCTTGAGCCAAGGGGACTCTATTTTGTATAAACTGTGGGTGTGGCCCCTGTGGGGGTAGAGAAGTGGGGCCCAAAAGTGAAAATAGAGGTAAAGAATTTAAAATCCTTCTTCTATGGTAGGTTATTCAGGGATTTTATCCTAATTTAATCTGGAGCATTCTTGGGCCAAGGGAACTCAATTTTGTATAAACGATGGGTGTGACCCCACTTGGGGCAGAGGAGCGGCCAATACAGGAAATAGAGGTAAAACCTTTAAAATCCTTCTTCTAACGTGTCGATTAAGGGATTTTATCCTAATTTAGCCTGGAGCATCCTTGGGCCAAGGAGATTCAATTTTGTATAAAACGTGGGTAAGGCCCACCCGGGGGCAGAGGAGCGGGGCCCAATAGGGAAAATAGAATAAAACATTTGAAACCCTTCTTCTACTGTAGGGATTTACGGATTTTATCCTGAATTTGTCTGGAGCATCCTTTGGCCAAGGGGACTCAATTTTGTATAAAAGGTGGGTGTGCCCCTGGGGCAGAGGGACATGGCCTTGTAGGGAAAATAGAGATAAAACCTTTAAAATCCTTCTTCTACCGTAGGATTGAAGGAATTTTATCCCAATTTGGTCTGGAGCATCCTTGGGCAAAAGAGACTCAATTTTGTATAAACAGTGAGTGTGGCCCCTTTTAGGGGCAGAGGAACAGGGCCCAATAGGGTCAACATAGCAAATTCTTCAAAATCCTTCTTCTGTAGGATTGACATGATTTTGTCCAAATTTGGTATGAAGCACCCTTGGGTGAAGCAGAATCAACTTGAATAAATGGTGGGTCTGACCCCCCCCTGGGGCCTGAGGGGTGGGCCCCAATAGGGGTAATTGAGCAAATTCTTTAAAATTCTTTTCCTTCTGTCAATAATTGGTCTGAAGTATCCTTGGGTGAAGGGGACTTAATTTTGTATAAACGATTGTTCTGACGGTCACCCTTCAGGGCAGAGGGGTGGGGCCCAATAGGGGAAACAGCAAATTCTTCAAAATCCTTCTTCTGTAGGAATGACAGAATTTTGTTCAAATTTGGTATTAAGCACCCTTGGGAAAAGGGGAACCAAATTGTAATAAATGGTTGGTCTGAACCCTCATTGGTCAGAGAGGTGAGGCCAAATAGGGATATAGAGGAATAGTTTATATAATATCCTTCTTCCGTTGGGAAGAATATATTTTGACCAAATTTGAACAGTAGCATCATATGGGGAAGGGGAATTAATTTTGTATAAATGGTTGGTCTGACGGTCACCCTTCAGGGCAGACGGGCGGGGCCTAATAGGGGAAACATAGCAAATTCTTCAAAATCCTTCTTCTTCTGTAGAAATGACAGGATTTTGTCCAATTGCATATAAATACAACCCCTGACTAACCATGTTATACATTACCAGCAACATATGGCCATTTCAACTTCAATTTTGCTAACATTACCAGGTGAGCGATAAGGCCCTCTGTTGTAGATCATCGTAACGTAAATATATGAATTGAATGGATGTTTAGTAAGCTTATGCCATGGTGTGGCATCCGTCATCCTTCCGTGGTCCGTCAACTTTTTCTTTAACAACATCTTCTGAAGAACGGACAGGCCTAGGTCACAGGGGTCAAATGTGTCAAAATATTCAAATGACTTCTGAAGAACTGAAAGGTATATAAACTTCAAATTTAGCTGGTAGCTCCCTGGGAAAGAGCCCAACAAACTTTGCAAATGAAAATGACCTTGACTGACTTTCAAGGTCACATGGGTCAAATGTGTCAAACTACTTCTTCTGAAGAACTGGAGGCATAGAATCGTAATATTTCGCTGTTAGCTTCCAACAACTGTTCAAACGACTTCTTCTGAAGAATTCAAAGGTACATAATCTTCATACTTGGCTGGTGCTTCCTGGGATTGAGCCGAACAAAGTTTGAGAATGAAAATGACTTTGACCTCTTCAAACAACTTCTTCCTAAGAACTTAAAGGTATAGAATCTTAATATTTGGCTGGTAGCTCCTTGGGTTGGATCCTGGCAAATTTTGCGAGTGAAAATTACTTTGAATTTTGTTCAAGGTTACAGGTGTCAAATAAGTCAAACCCTTCAAATGACTTCGGAGGAGGAACTGAACGGTATAGAATCTTAATAATTGGCTGGTAACTTCATTAGCATGAGAAAGTTTGCTAATGTAAATGACCTTAACCTACTTTTAGGGGCTCAGCGGTCAAATATGTCAAATGCTTCAAATGACTTCTTCCAAATAATCGAAAGGCATAGAATCATAATATTTGGCTTCTTGGGATAGAGCTCACCAAGGTTTGCAAATGAAAATGACCTCAACCTACTTTAAAGGTCACAGAGGTCAACAACATTTTAAACGACTTGTTCTGAAGAACCAAAAGGAATGGATTCATAAGATTTGGCTGGTAGCTTTTTGGGATAGAGCCAACAAAGTTTGAGAAGGAAATTTACCTTGACCTACTTACAAGGTCACCGGGAAAAATATGTCAAACACTTCAAACAACTTCTGAAGAAGAACCAAAAAGCATAGAATCATATAATAATATTTGACTGGTAGTTTCAACTGATGGAGTTGACAAAGTTTGCGAGTGAAATATTTGTAATACAATATAATATTTAATGAGAATTTTTTGCTATGACTGCTTAAATATTCAGATGAGCAATACAGGCACTCTGGGCCTCTTGTTTTTCATGTACATTGCGGCAATGAATAGCAGTAGCTGATCTACATATCCTGTGGAGCACGTTAACGCTCCTCAGGGGACATGTAGATCAGCTACTGCTATTCATTGCCGCAATGTACATGAAAAAAATCAATTCAATTCCTATACACAGACCCAAAAAAATTTGTATTAAATGTGTCAACACTTTTTTGTGTAAGCTTTTATTATCCGCATGTAATGAATTATTGTCTGTGGTCAGGGCTTCAAATGATTTTATCACCATGGGTCATATGGCTCATCAAGTAAGAAAAAAGTGGGTCATTTTTCAAACGCATAGGTCATAATATTCGGTACTGCAAAATTTAAAATAAAACCCAAGTTCTCTAATTCTAGCTCACTTGGTCTTTTTGGTCTAAATGCTGGTCAAACAAATTCCTTTTTGGATTATTCAAATTGTAACAATTTTCATCAACCACTTTCATATTTGACTTTGCTTTGCCACACAGAATTATACTGTATTTCGATGTTGCAGGCCTAGTGCTACATCATAAACAACACACCAAGTTACAAAACTTGAAACTCCATGAAAATATCAAAATTCATTTTGATCGACTAGATGTGCTCATAGCTGACATAAATGCCCACTTTCTTTTCTCTCATTCCAAACATTATAACCTACCAATTCTTAGGCAAAGAGTATATTCTTTTAAACAATATTAGGTTTTTAGCTCACCTGGCCTGAAGGGCTAAGTGAGCTTATGCCGTGGTGCAGCCTCCGTTATCCGTCTGTCCGTACGGTGTCAAGATTTTTCTTTAAACAACTTCTTCTTAATAACCAAAATTAAAGGCCTAGGGTGATGATATTTGGCCAGAAGCAAACTAGGATGAAGGGCTACAAAGTTTGTTCAAATAAATGACCTTCACTCATATTCAAGGTCAAAGGGGTCAAATATGTTAAAAACTTTGAACAATTTCTTCTGAATAACCAGAAGGCCCAGGATGATGATATTTGGCCAGTAGCATGCTTGGATGAAGGGCTACAAAGTTTGTTCAAGGTCACAGGGGTCAATTGTCTAACAAAAACCTTTACAAACAACTTCTTCTGAATAACCAGAAGGCCGAAGGTGATGATATTTGGCCAGTAGTATGCTTGGATAAAGGGCTACCAAGTTTGATCAAATGAATGACCTTTACTCATATTCAAGGTCAAAGGGGTCAATTGTCTAACAAAAATCTTTAAACAACCTCTTTCAAATAACTAAAAGGCACAGGATGATGATATTTGGCCAGTAGCATGCTAGGATGAAGGGCTACCAAGTTGATTAGCTCACCTGGTCCGAAGGACCAAGGTGAGCTTATGCCATACCATTTCTTCCGTCCGTCCGTCCGTCCGTCCGTACGTCAACAATTTCTTTAAACCACTGATTGGAATTCAACTAAATTTGAATGGAATCATCCCTAGGTGTTAGGGATTCAAAATTGTACAAATGGTGGGGCTGACCCCCCAGGGGGCTGAGGAGCTTATGCCATACCATTTCTTCCGTCCGTCCGTACGTCAACAATTTCTTTTAACGACTTCTTCTTCTTAACCACTGATTGGAATTCAACTAAATTTGACTGGAATCATCCCTAGGTGGTGAGGATTCAAAATTGTACAAATGATGGGGTTGACCCCCCAGGTGGCTAAGGGGCGGGGCCAAAAAGGGGGCAATTTGGCTATATTGCTATAAACAACTTCTTGTGTAGAACTATGCCATGGATATTGATCATATTTGCTCGGTAGCATTCATGGGAGGCAGGGATTCAAAATTGTACAAATGGTGGGGCTGCCCCCCCGGCTAAGGGGTGGGGCCAAAAAAAGTGTATTACTTGGAAATGGTTGAGATCCCCACCATATAACCATGGTATACAATTGCTGAGTATAAAGAGAAGAATTCACATTTGCTTCAAGGATGGCCATAGGGTCTGGCCCCACCCTTGGAGACATAGTCCCTGGGCCATAACTTTAAAACTGTTGAGATCCCCACCCCAAAACTATATATACAAATGTTGGGCATAAAAAGACGAATGCAGTCCATCTTGGATTTTGAAAGTGAATGAGTGTTATAGCTGTTTCTCAGGAAGGTTTTTAAGGGATTTCCCCCTAATTTCATATTTAGGTTCCTTTAGTCTCTAATTGTGCATGTTCAATTTTATTAGGGTTTGAATAAACAAAATGTCCGACAAGCAGCCATCTTGGATATTTGACAGCGAAAGCTTGTTTTAATAAGATAAGATAAGAGAAAAGAAGAGAAGAGATCAAACTGATATAGAACCAATGAAGATGGTACAATGGTGGGCGCCAAGATGCCTCTGGGATCTCTTGTTTATATATTAGAGTAGGGTTTATATCAAATAGCCTGAATTTCAGTTTTATTTAATTACTGAAACAAATATTAAATGATATATTCTGAACTGTTTTCATTTGTAGAACATGTTTGATATATTTTGCATTTGACCTCTGTCCAGGTTGAGTTTGCCAAGCAGACAGTGGGACAAGATGACAGTGCAGGCAAGCCTAAGACTGTGAAGAGGACCTTATTTAGTCGTATGAATCCATTTCCACAGAAAAAAGTCATGACTTTCAACAAACATACCAAAGACTTCACCTTCAATGTCACCTATAGTGATCTGTCCTTCCTTTCTGACGAAGAGGTCAAGTGAGTACATTACGGTCTATGCTGTAATTTGTGGACAAGTCAGGTTTTAAGCTAGCTCCTTCACCTCTATGACTTACCTAAGTTAGCTCCTTCACCACTCTGTCTGACTTACCTAAGTTAGCTCACTTCACCACTCTGCCTGACCTACCTAAGTTAGCTCACTACACCACTCTGCCTGACTTACCTAAGTAAGCTCACTACACCTCTCTGTCTGACTTACCTAAGTTAGCTCACTTCACCACTCTGTCTGACTTACCTAAGTTAGCTCACTACACCTCTCTGTCTGACTTACTTAAGTTAGCTCACTACACCACTCTGTCTGACTTACCTAAGTTAGCTCCTTCACCACTCTGTCTGACTTACCTAAGTTAGCTCACTTCACCACCTTGTCTGACTTACCTAAGTTAGCTCCTTCACCTCTCTGACTGACTAACATAATTTAGCTCATACACCACTCTGACTTACCTAATTTAGCTCCTACACCACTCTGACTTACCTAAGTTAGCTCCTACACCTCTCTGTCTGACTTACCTAAGTTAGCTTTTGACATTTCTCTCTCGACCAGGGTTTCAGTTTACCTCCATAATGTTGTAATATGACCTCCAGGAAAGGCTTTTGACCCTACAAATGTTAGAGGATTGCCATATAAGGAGGTCAGGATTCGTAATTTATGCCTGATTTTACACACTTTGCAAACACACTGTCTAAGCTGCTGACTGATACTTGCCAGCTACATCTGACATTTTGAACTGTTACTGTATTTCAGATCACTTGGCAGTCCTGTGCTGGCCACATACACAGTGACTGGTGTGGACACAGCCTACAGTAAACATGCTGAGGATGCTGAGAGTAAGGGTGTCAAGGCTCACTTCAGACTGGACGAGAGTGGCATACTCCACATGGATAAGGTGCGTGTAACTGATCCATTAGATCAAAGTGCTGGCAAAGAAGATTTTTGTTTCAATATTTGACCTGCACTGACATTGACCCTTGTGTCACGAGGGGCCTATATTGTAGTTATCATAGGATTATCTAGTATGTAAATTAACACATCACAAAATTTAGAGAAGTAACACAAAAATATGCCATTATGTTTTAATTGCGCTGGGTGATGTCACAATAGGCCTTATAAGTTAATTGCCATGCCTCACTTGAATCAAACATCGGAATTCTTAAGATTTACCTCTACATAAACCAGGCAGGGCCAGATAATAAAACATCTGCTACCATGAATATATATTTAGCTCACCTGGCCCGAAGGGCAAAGTGAGCTAATGCCATGGTGTACGTCCGTCCGTCTGTCCGTCCGTCGTCAACTTTTTACTTTAAACAACTTCTTCTGAATAACCAAGAGACCCAGGCTGATGATATTTGGCCAGTAGCATGCTGGGATGAAGGGCTACCAAGTTTGTTGCAATGAATGCCCTTTGCCCATTTTCAAGGTCACAGGGGTCAACTTTGTTAAAATCTTAAAAAACTTCTTCTAAATAACCAAGAGGCCTAGGGTGTTTATATTTGGCCAGTAGCATGTTTGGGAAAAGGGCTAACAAATTTGTTCAAATGAATGACCTTTGCACATATTCAAGGTCAAAGGGGTCAAAAATGTTGAAATATTTAAACGTCTTCATCTGAATAACCAAAAGCTTCAAGGTGACGATATTTAGCCAGTAGCATGCAGGGATGAAGGGTTATCAAGTTTGTCCAAATGAATGACCTTTGCCCATATTCAAGGTTACAGGGGTCAATTGTCATTAAAATCTTTTAAACAACTTCTTCTGAATTACCAAAAGGTCCAGGGTGATGATATTTGGCCAGTAGCATGCAGGGATAAAGGGCTACAAAGTTTGTTCAAATGAATGACCTTTGCCCATATTCAAGGTCACAGGGGTCAAATATGTTGTAATCTACTTCTTCTGAATAACTAAAGTGTACAGGGTGATTGCTTGTAGATGTCAATGACCTTGACACACTTTCCTGGTCACATCTGGTCCACAGTACATAAATCACTTAAAGTCATCTTCTCAATAAACAAAAGGTATAAGGTGGTGATATTTGGCAAGTTGCATTCTGGGATGAAGGGCTTATACGTTTTTTCAACTTAATGTCCATGTTTGACTTTCAAGGTCACAGAGGTCAAATGTGTTTTAATTCTTTAACAGGTTTTCCTGCATGACTTTAGGTCAAGACACCGATATTTTGCCTGTAGGCTTATTTTAATCCTCTTTTAAGGTTATAATTGTGAGATTAATACCAGGTGAGCGATGCAGGCCCATTGGGCCTCTTTTGTAATGTAAATCAGTATTGCATGTGTAGTAAAATAAACTCATGACATGTTTAACTTGCAGTTATATTTTCAATAAAAAAATTGTTGTAGGCTGAGGTTATATTTGAGAGACAAGGGCCACCAGAGGAGGAATCAACATGGTCCAGTAAGTTATTCCCCTTTAACAGGGATCTTTTTATGCCCCCATGTAGTGGGGTGGGGGGTATATAGTAATAATTCTGTAAGTGTGTCCGTCCATGTGTGCATACATACGTGTGTGTGTCCATAGTAAAATGTTTGTGTATAAGATATCTCATGAAAACCTGTACATAATGACTTCAAATTTATACCATAGTATGTCAATATCAAGTTCTACACCTGATTCGATTTTGGAAGTCTTTGGTCAAGGTTAAAGGGTCAAAGGTAATGGACAAACTAGGGGGGTATATCTTTGTGAGCCTCCACACTAACTTTGTTTTTGTTAAGCATTGAAAAAACTCATTATAATAGAAATTTCAACGTACAAAGTTATTTCTGCTGTCAATTTCTAATGGCTAATTAGTCAAAATCTATTTTTCAGGTATGTTTTAACAATATAACATCATTAAAATGTAATCAAAACAAGAATAGGTTGTTTATATTTCCATGCAAAGTGGACCCTCATTTAGACCATCAAACTTTCTTACGATAACTTACTATAAATGCACCTTGTGCTATCCCCGTTAACATCCAGAAGTCATACAGACTAGGTGCACCTTGTACTATCCCTGTTAACATCCAGAAGGCATACAGACTAGGTGCGCCTTGTACTATCCCCGTTAACATCCAGAAGGCATACAGACTAGGTGCTCCTTGTGCTATCCCTGTTAATATCCAGAAGGCATACAGGCTAGGTGCACCTTGTTCTATCCCTGTTAACAGCCAGAAGGCATACAGGCTAGGTGCACCTTGTGCTATCCCCGTTAACATCCAGAAGGCATACAGGCTAGGGGCACCTTGTACTATCCCCGTTAACATCCAGAAGGCATACAGACTAGGTGCACCTTGTTCTATCCCTGTTAACAGCCAGAAGGCATACAGGCTAGGTGCACCTTGTACTATCCCCGTTAACATCCAGAAGGCATACAGGCTAGGTGCACCTTGTGCTATCCCTGTAAATTTCCAGAAGGCATACAGGCTAGGTGCACCTTGTGCTATCCCTGTTAACATACAGAAGGCATACAGGCTAGGTGCGCCTTGTGCTATCCCTGTAAATTTCCAGAAGGCATACAGGCTAGGTGCCCCTTGTGCTATCCCTGTAAATTTCCAGAAGGCATACAGGCTAGGGGCACCTTGTTCTATCCCCGTTAACAGCCAGAAGGCATACAGACTAGGTGCTCCTTGTACTACCCCTGTTAACATCCAGAAGGCATATAGGCTAGGTGCACCTTGGACTATCCCCGTTAACATCCAGAAGACATACAGACTAGGTGCACCTTGTTCTATACCTGTTAACAGCCAGAAGGCATACAGGCTAGGTGCACCTTGTTCTATCCCTGTTAACAGCCAGAAGGCATACAGACTAGGTGCACCTTGTACTACCCCTGTTAACATCCAGAAGGCATATAGGCTAGGTGCACCTTGTACTATCCCCGTTAACATCCAGAAGGCATACAGACTAGGTGCACCTTGCTCTATCCCTGTTAATATCCAGAAGGCATACAGACAAGGTGCACCTTGTTCTATCCCTGTTAATATCCAGAAGGCATACAGGCTAGGTGCACCTTGTACTATCCCCGTTAATATCCAGAACGCATACAGGCTAGGTGCACCTTGTACTATCCCCGTTAACATCCAGAAGGCATACAGGATAGGTGCACCTTATACTATCCCCGTTAACATTCAGAAGACATACAGGCTAGGTGCACCTTGTTCTATCCCTGTTAACATCCAGAAGGCATACAGGCTAGGTGCACCTTGTTCTATCCCCGTTAACATCCAGAAGTCATACAGGCTAGGTGCACCTTGTACTATCCCTGTTAACATCCAGAAGGCATACAGGCTAGGTGCACCTTGTACTATCCCGGTTAACATCCAGAAGGCATACAGGCTAGGTCCCTAAGTGCTTGATCTGTAATTGTGGATTGAGTTTTGTATTGATGTGACTCAAATGATTAGCTAATATTGTCAGTGCAAATCTGGAGCATGAGTGGTTGGATTCTGTGCTCATGTGACTTCAATTTTGTGGTATCTTTCATTTGAGCGTTAGCAAGAAAAAGAGCAAACAGATGTCAAATTATTTAATTCACTGTGTGAATGATGCATTCAAACCGGACGATTGTTCTCAGTCTGACTAGCTGTACCCAACTCAGGAGGAATGCATGATCAATAGAAAGAAAAATAATAGAATCAAGCAAAAACAGTATTACATATGTATATAGATGAAAAGTAAGCATAAGATCACAGAGACATCACTTCAAGGAAAAATAATAACCGGGTGATTCAGTGCTAGTTGACATGGCAATTTGACATAGTGTCTCCTGCATGTATACATTCAACACGCCTCTTGTCCCTAATAGTTCAGCTATCATACTTATTCCCTACTAAGCACACCTTTTATTAGCTCACCTGGCACCAGTGAGCTTAAGGTATGGCATGATTTCCATGTCCATGTCGTCTGTCACCTTTTTCTTTGAATGATACCTTCTTAAGAATTGTAGAACCTAGGGCCATGATATTTGATAAGATGGTACCTGTGATGGAGTGCTATAACCTTTCCTCAAATAAATGACCTTGACCAACTTTTAATATCACAAGGGTCAAATATGTTAAAACCTTCAAATATCTTCTCTTGAATAACCAGGTGGCCCAGTAAATACCTTTTTCTGAATAACCAGGAGGCACAGAGTGATGATATTAGGCCAAGAAGTACCTGCAATGTAGATGCTATGAAATTTACTCAATTAGATGACCTTGACCTAAACAACCTCTGAATAACTGAGACACACAATGTGACAATATTTGGCCAGCATCTTGATTTGATGTGGTTCTATTAACTTTCTTCAAAGATATTTTACCAGTAGCATGCATGGATAAAGCAGTATAAAATTTCCTCCAGTAAATGGCCTTTATCTACTTTTAGGTCACAGGGGTCAAATGTGTAAAAAAAAAAAAATTGAACAAAGTCTTTATGAAGAGTGCCAGGTGATGATTGTTAGCCAATATCATGTGGGATAGTACAAAGTTTCATCAAAGAAATAACCTCAACCTACATTCAGTGTGACAGGGGCCAGGTGTCAAATTTGTAAAAAAAAAAAATGGATAACCTGGAAACCCAGGATATTGATATTTTGTCAGTTTAAATGTAGAATTTGGCTCCCCAAAGTGCAGCAGGATAGGGCTTAATAGAGGTAACTAGAGAAAAATCTTTAAATCCCTCGTTCATTACAGATTAAGTGATCTCAATCTTTTAATCTGGAACATTCTTAAGCCAATGAGACTCAATAATTATGTGGAAATATTTGCAAAATTACTTTTATTGAGAACTTTTCCCTATGATCCTCAACCTTATAATTGTTCACAAAAATGTATTTATTTTTCCAAAAAAAATCTGTAGACCTTAAATCGGGAACATATCATTACCTCCCTCCCACTTAGTGACCCCCTATAACTCCTAAGGGGTCAGGCAGGTTTTTTTCTCAAATTTAGCAATTTATGTAAGTCTAACCCAAAGGTATTATCATGAAAAACTAAAAGCTTATTGGTGATGGGATGTAAAATGACCAAATATGGCACCCATCCTTTTTCATGTTAATTTGCACTAAGAGGCAATGTTATTTGGGCACAAGCAAGTAAGCAATTGTTCAACTTGTGAGTTTAAATATTTGTAACTAATCATCGGAAAAATTGTCATGATATAAGAGTTAAGTATTTGTGAAATTGATGTGATTTATGTTGTTAAGATATTTCAAAGTTTTTGATGCTGAAAGATGACTATTTTTCAAATCTAAGTTTCCAGAGTGCTTGTGGTCATGTATAACGCTGGTGACGGTGGATAGGTATTAGCAATGTAAACCAAGTTATAGGCTATCAATTTAAGTTTGCTGATTATTTTAAACCCTTATTCCCTGATTTTTTTGTGTAGAACAATTTTATTAAGATTTTTTTTGTATGTGACAACAGAGATTGGTAGTACCCTAGGGAGATTATAAAGTTAACTTTTTGTATGTGACAGAGATTGGTAGTACCCTAGGGGGATTATTAAGTTAACTTTTTGTCTGTGTTAACAGAGATTGGTAGTACCCTAGGGAGATTAAAAAGTTAACTTTTTGTATGTGACAGATATTGGTAGTACCCTAGGGGGATTATTTAGTTAACTTTTTGTATGTGTTAACATAGATTGGTAGTACCCTAGGGGGCTTATTAAGTTAACTTTTTGTATGTGTTAACATAGATTGGTAGTACCCTAGGGGGCTTATTACGTTAACTTTTTGTATGTGTTAACAGAGATTTGTAGTACCCTAGGGGGCTTATTAAGTTAACTTTTTGTATGTGTTAACATAGATTGGTAGTACCCTAGGGGGCTTATTACGTTAACTTTTTGTATGTGTTAACAGGGATTGGTAGTACCCTAGGGGGATTATTACGTTAACTTTTTGTATGTGTTAACAGGGATTGGTAGTACCCTAGGGGGATTATTAAGTTAACTTTTTGTCTGTGTTAACAGAGATTGGTAGTACCCTAGGGGTCTTATTAAGTTAACTTTTTGTATGTGTTAACAGAGATTGGTAGTACCCTAGGGGGATTATTTAGTTAACTTTTTGTATGTGTTAACAGAGATTGTTAGTACCCTAGGACGATTATTAAGTTAACCTTTTGTATGTGTTAACAGAGATTGGTAGTACACTAGGGGGATTATCAAATTAACCTTTTGTATGTGTTTACAGAGATTGGTAGTACCCTAGGGGGATTATTAAGTTAACCTTTTGTATGTGTTTACAGAGATTTGTAGTACCCTAGGGGGATTATTAAGTTAACCTTTTGTATGTGTTAACAGAGATTGGTAGTACCATAGGGGGATTATTAAGTTAACCTTTTGTATGTGTTTACAGAGATTGGTAGTACCCTAGGGGGATTATTTGGATCCAGTGCTGACAAAGATGTTAAAGTTGAAGACACAGATCCAGGCACAGAGGTAAGTTAGCAGATGTTTTAGATCATACGGTGTTCACTTTACGGTGGTGAGTGGTGAAAAGAGAAAAAATGTTTTAGTCCCACACTTTCATCCAAATAAACGATAAGACAACATTAACTTGTTGCATTGAATTTTGATAAGGAGGATTAAAAGACAATATACATTTAAAAGCAGGTGGTGTAAACAACAAGCTCTTAAGAATTTTGACCAACTTTGTTACTTATAAACAGACTTTGATGATGCCATATTGAAACGTAAAAGAGCCTGATGCTTTTAGCTCTGCCAAAAAAGTTAAGGAGGCTCCACCCTTTTGCAATTGTCCAGCAGAATTTGTTGAAACTTTCACATAATGGTTGTGTAACTATGTAGAGGTGTACAGGTACACTATAGACCACTGTACAGGTACACTATAGACCACTGTACAGGTATACTATAGACCACTGTACAGGTACACAATAGACCAATGTACAGGTATGCTATAGATCACTGTACAGGTACACTATAGATCACAGTAAATGTATGCTATAGACCACTGTACAGCTACACTATATACCACTGTACAGGTATGCTATAGACCACTGTACAGCTACACTATAGACCACTCTACAGATACACAATAGACCACTGTACAGATACACTATATACCACTGTAAATATATACTATAGCTAATGGTACAGAAACATTATAGACCATGATACAGTTACACTATATAACACTGTACAGGTACACTATAGACCACTCTACAGGTACACTATAGACCACTGTACAGGTACACTATAGACCACTCTACAGGTATATTATAGACCACTGTACAGGTACACTATAGACCACTGTACAGGTACACCATAGACCACTGTACAGGTATACTATAGTCCACTGTACAGGTACACTATAGACCCCTCTACAGGTACACTATAGACCACTGTACATATACAATATAGACCATGGAACAGAAACACTATAGACCACTGTACAGGAACACTATAGACCACTGTACAGGTACACAATAGACCACTATACAGGTACACTATATACCACTGTACAGGTACACTATAAACCAATGTACAGGTACACTATACACCTCTCTACAGGTACACTATAGACCACTGTACAGGTAAACTATAGACCACTGTACAGGTACACCATAGACCACTGTACAGGTATACTATAGACCACTGGACAGGTACACTATAGACCACTGTACAGTTACACTATAGACCACTCTACAGGTATATTATAGACCACTGTACAGGTGCACTATAGACCACTGTACAGGTACACGATAGACCACTGTACAGGTACACTGTAGACCACTGTACAGGTACACTATACACCACTCTACAGGTACACTCTAGACCACTGTACAGGTACACTATAGATCACTGTACAGGTACCCTATATACCACTGTAAATGTATGCTATAGATCACTGTACAGGTACACTATAGACCACTGTACAGGTACACTATAGACCACTGTACAGCTACACTATACACCACTCTACAGGTACACTATAGACCAATGTACAGGTACACTATACACCACTCTACAGGTACACTATACACCACTCTACAGGTACACTCTAGACCACTGTACAGGTACACTATACACCACTCTACAGGTACACTATAGACCACTCTACAGGTACACTATACACCACTCTACAGGTACACTAGACCACTGTACAGGTATATTATAGACCACTGTACAGGTACACTATAGACCACTCTACATATACACTATAGACCATGGTACAGAAACACTATAGACCACTGTACAGGTACACTATAGACCACTGTACAGGTATACTATAGACCACTGTACAGGTACACTATAGACCACTCTACAGGTACACTATAGGCCACTGTACAGGTACACTATACACCACTCTACAGGTACACTATAGACCACTATACAGGTACACTATAGACCACTGTACAGGTACACTATAGACCATGGTACAGAAACACTATAGACCACTGTACAGGTACACTATACACCATGGTACAGGTACACTATAGACCACTGTACAGGTACACTATAGACCACTGTACAGATTGAGTTTCCTAAGGTATACTTATATTTGTTGTATACATCTGAGTTTTATTTAGGGTGTAATGATAATTTAGATTGAAAACCAAGTTAAATATAACAGGAATATCATTACCATAATTGAGTTTGGTCAAAAACCCTCAATTTATATGAAACTTCAATTTCTTTTCTGATAGATTTTGTTTTTTGTTGGTATTTGGAACATAAAAGCATGTTTTTTCTAACACATTCTTCTCCTGAAATTTCTTATCTAAGGCAGATAACTCTGATTCAACGGACTCTAATGGTGAAAGGGAGGCAACTAAAGCTGGTAAATCAGATGAGCAGCTGAAAAAGGATGATTTGGGTGAAGATAAATCATCTGATAAAGATGAGAAATCCGAGAAAGAGCAGGTTGTTAACCATAGATTCCTTTAAAAAAGTGTTTAAATTTAAAATAGAATAAGTACTACTATGGTGTATTATATAACATAACACTTTACTATTAATTTCTGAGAAACTGACCAATTGCATTAACAATAAGCTGATAAGATACTCTTTTATCTTCCATAGAATCTGTACATGCTTTGTTTTCACCTTGTTTGACTGCTATAGCATGCTATCACTTGTGTATGTTAGATCATGCTATCACTTGTGTATGTTATATATAGCATGCTATCACTTGTGTATGTTATAGCATGCTATCACTTGTGTATGTTATATATAGCATGCTATCACTTGTGTATGTTATA